TAGTATTATTTTTTATTATATTATTATAAAAATTTTTCATTATTAAGGTACATATATTAGTGCAAAAACCTAATACTACAAAACCTTTAAATTTCTTTTTAACACTCTAAATATTCATAAACTTTAAGAAAGTGTGACAACTATTTTCATTCATTTTTTTGCCCCAATCGTCACATGGCTCAAACGTTGAAAACATTAAATAAAATAATGTGTAGACCAAAGAAATTATCTACCTACAGTACCACTAACAAATTTGAGTTATTTTATCAAAATTTAACAAAATTGTTTTTAAGATTCCTATTTTATTTTGATATTGAACTATTAATTATGATCAAAAAAATATACATATTCGAACTTACCAAAAAGATATCCATATCATAAATAATAACAAAATATACGTCCTCATATTTACCACTAATAAACTGTAAAAAGTAACATAATATTTATTAAAGAAATTAAAAAAAATGCCACGAATGCAAGGGCGACCTACAATAAACTGCGAGATTCGCGGTCGAATTAAGTAGTTTGTACTTTGTCCCTGACACTTATAGGAAAATGTTTTTTTTTTTTTAAGTTCAGTGATACTCTAATTTAGTAGGTGTTTTTTAATAGGAACAGGATGTTCATATCACAAATATTTATAAAGCCAAACAAAATGATAAATGTGCCAAGGCAGTTAAAAATGTGCCACAATTTTTGATAACCAGTGAAAGGGAAAACCAATTACAGTAATTAATTTTAAATTTCCTTTTGAGATCTAAAAAAAGGTTCTCATATTCAATTTAAATATTATGAAATAGTAAGTCAAAAGTGGGATTTCAAAAAAAAATGCATGGTAATTGCCTTTAACTTTCAAAATTTATTAACAATAACATTAAAATACCGTATAATACTTCTATAAAAAGGAATGTTAGTATTTTATCACAATACTTCAATCTTAAAATAATAAAATACGTATTTTAATATATATTCGTAAATCTACATTAACAACCTCTTGAGTAATTGCACTTATAAAACATTTTAATAAGAATAAATATTAGTAAATCATTAGTCTTCACCTATTTTATTATTTTGTCTTATTTTTTGAGCAAAAACATTTGGATCATTCACTAAATTTTCCCAAAGCTTGTAATAATCTTCAGGGCTTATATCATCCACAAAAATGTTGTTGTTCCTCAAAACAGACTGCCAAACCTACAAATAATTGAAGAAATTAGTACTAATAATCGATTATCTGTAATTAATACCACGCTTCCAAATTCACATCATTCAATTTAAGCAACACAAAAAACTAGTTTTAATATGTAAACATAAACAGAAATGTTTTAAATTCAAATTATAAAATTGTAAAATGAAGTATAAAATAATGATAAACTAAATTACCTGTTTTTCAGACAGTAAGTTAGAACTGGGTTTATTTCCTAAATTGCCTTCATAAAATATTTGTAATTTATATAGCAAATAGTGGAAAGTATACATTTTATCTTCACTTGTAGTCTAAAATAAATAAATTAACAATTTAATTAATTACTGAACTAATCACTGTCATGCCTCCATATTTTTATAAAATTGAAGATGTGTCCAGAAAAGAAAAAATTCATCACTTGTATTATTTTTTGGTATTTTTAAACTAATTTTAAAATATATAGGAATAAACATATTGTTCTAAGAATATTATTTAAATACATCATTCAAAATTTAAAGATGTACACACAAGAGGCGTTACAAAAGTTTACAGTAGAAATTTCAGTTATTCAGACTAACTCTGTTTATTACTGACTATCTTGAGGAAAAGTTTAAAACCAATTACTTAATCTAAATGTAATTTTTTTTTCACCTACCACCTTCCAACATTAGTAGATATTTAAAAAGTTTGATAGCTTATCTTTTTTTTTAATTTTACTTGACCTTACTTTAAATGTAATAGAATAAGGGCTACAACACTTGACAGGATACAGGCTTTTTGTATAATAACTTGAAAGTGTTGTAGAACCAGGAAGAAAGAGTTTTTGTAAATTAAAACCATAAAATGTAGAAAAACCTGCACAGTCTCTAGTATCAAATGGCTGTATTCCCATTGCAGTTAATATTTTTCCTAAAAATGTTTATTCAACATATTTTTTGTTTGTATGTAGTTTGTTTTTTATACCTAGATAGTAATCTTCTTTATTCATAAAAGTATTTCCTTCGAAACATCCTTGGGATGAATTCATGTAATTCAGAAACTTTGTTAAACTACCTTTACTTAAAACATAGCCAGCATCTCCACTGTTATAGTTAATGCCCCAACTTGAAATTCCATGGCCTAGATAATAACTATCCTGGTAGTTCAAGCTTGCCACCATAAAACGTAAATTTTCCACTATTGCGTATGTATCATCTTTCACAATAAGCACCCAATTAAAATCCATATTGCTTGAAATATTTAAAAGTGATCTGCACAGTAGAGACCATGAAGAATTCTCTTTAGTTCTTTTTATAGGAATTTTGTTTAAACTTTTGGTCATATTAAGAAACAGAATATTGTTACAACTTTGTGCCCATGTTGCATTTGAAACATCTCTGTACCTTGGTTTGTAAACCAGTATTATGCATGTTATCTTAATTTTCTGAAATAAATATTGTGCTTCAAGGAAATGCTTCTTTGAGCCATAGCGCAGAGTATCCATACTAACAGGAACATATGAAAAAGCTTGATTTCTCATCCACACATTATATCTATTTTCTAAGCACTTTCTGTTTACTAAATGGTGTTTTGTTTTGTGTGATATTTCTACCTTTATACACACAATTAGCAATCCTATAGAAAATCCGACTATGAACGCAAATTTGGATAATATATCCCACATTTTAAGATTTTATCACATGTTTTCTTCTGCCTTTACTTTAGGATATTATTAGGTTTCTCATTCGTGTTTATATTGTATTGATATAGTATACCATTTCATGTTTTTTTGGAATGTTCAGAAGGTTTTTAAGTTTCTAATGTTATATTTATATTAGGTTAAGTCTAGGAATATAGTGCATACTGCATAAAATAAACAATGAACTTTTAATCAACTAAATGTGTCTAAATGTCTACCATACGGCAACGTCGTCTCAAAAGTTTTTTTCATAGCCATTAATTTAGAAAAAGAAGGTTATCTGTTAAAAAAAATAATGTTACAACTTAAACCTTCTTAAACTAATTTAATGTTTTTTTTAATAAAAAAGGTTAGGTTAGGTTAGATTTAAACAATGAACTTTTGATCATCTAATTGTGTCTAAATGTCAACCATACGGCAACGTCGTCTCAAATAAGAGTAATTTTCATAGCCATTAATTTAGAAAAAAAAAGGTTACCTGTTGAAAAAAAAATAATGTCACAACTTAAACCTCCTTAAACTAATTTAATGTTTTTTTTTTATAAAAAAGAAGGTTACCTGTTATAACTTAAACCTTATACTAATTTAACTTTTTATGCTTTCATAGCTATATTTTCGTCATTTTATTTATGCTAATCAGTATAATCAATATTAAGAACAACGTAAATGAAGAAAAAATGTTTCATAGTGCTTCTTTCATTAAAATTTTCTAATACATTTTATGGCTTTTTCCTTATTTAAAAAATGTTTCACAAGAAAATTACCGCGACTCAGTGAAATTTAATATTATCATTTGCTAAACTTCCTGTGAAATAGTTACGTACTCTTGACAAATACTTAAACATTCGAAATCATATTGTAGAGTTTATAGCTGAAATCATTTCTGAAACGTAAGGTATTTTAATTAGGCGTACTTGAAAGTGTTACGTTAATGTGTCTTTAGCCAAGATCATATTATTTAAGGCGCACGCGCGAATTTAAATATTTGAATACAAAACGAAAACGAATCGTTGACTGTCAACTAGTCAACCGTTTTGTTGACGGTATTCTTTCCGTGTTGTGTTAATAGGAGTTAGCAAAGTGAATGTGAATGTGAGTTATTCTGAAGATTTACAAAATAAAACGGCATACATAAACTGAAATCTAAGTTATTCATAAGTGTTTTAAAAATGGCTGCAAAAGATTTATTCACTGAACTAAACAAAAACTTACTTCAGCGTGTTAGTGATGGCGTCCTAGCTTTTCGTTCTATACACGATGTAAGTTTTTATAGTTTGTTACATTTGTATTTTGCTTTACCGAATATAACTATAATATTCACTTTGAATATTAACATATATAAAGAAACAAACCAATTCGTATATGTTATCTATATTGATTATGACACTGTAAGAACTGAGTACTAAACTTTGTAAATTAAATAATAAATACAATGTTTAAATATACTCTCTACCTGTGTACTTACGGTGTTGTAATGCAGATTGTTATTAAAATATTTACAATAAAATACAATTTATTTCGCAAGTTGTGTAGCATAACTTACTTTATTACTATTTTGTAGATTTACTCTAAGAGATTAAATGATATTAAAAATAGAATTGAAAACCATGAAAAGCAACTGTCTCTTGAACATGAAAATTTAAAAAGCAT